TTGTATTCATTTTGAAATAATGCAGAAGCGACGAGGTCCAAAATGAAATGGGACCGGCATGTAGGGGGATTAGGCATCAAATTGCCAATCTTTTTCGTAGCAACTTTGAAAAGGGAGCGACCCTCTTTTAATTCGTATCCACAATTTCACACTAGCTCACTCCCGAATTCAATTATTTTGTTATTGTCTATATCTTCTACTAATATTTTATTAAAAACCCATTCGTTGATTTATGCATATCACGACGCATGTGTTCGTTTTCAAGCACGTCAATTTTACATGTAGACTTAGCGGTGCATACCCTTCTAATTAATATCGCATGAATGATGAATGTGTCTCTATAGATAGACGCAAAGTAGTGCACAGGATTACAGGGTAACTTATACAAACACAATGAATATGAAAATCTTGATGAATTATATATGTAGATATCTAGAGATGTATTCGTTTAATATTAAATTTTGTTGGTTTCAACTTGTTTTTGCTTCTAAATATGTGAGGTTTCTTTGAATTTATATATGATTAATTAAATTATACTAGTTCATCAATATAGTACTTTCATTTCTTCCTAACACGATTCGAACGTTTTCAAATTGCGATGATCCACATATATTATGTATTATATATATATGAGTATGGGTGAAAGTATATCTTTGATGAGACGCATAGAGAGACTTTTTATTTAGTAGACAACTAACTAGTCGGAGAATATTATAGTTAACTTGTCATGCTCATGTGTATATTAGTTAACTAATCCACCGATATGCACGTCCAATTAAGGGCGATAATTTATATAAATGTATAGACTTTACTAGTGAATTTGTATTTGTGCATCCGTCCACATGGTCTAACAAAAGTCAAATGAACCACGTAAATACGTAATTATCATTAATATTATATTATTATAGCTAGGTTTAATCAGTTTAAGAAAAAAATGGTTTAATCATATTATACGTAGAAACATCTTTGATTGTTATAATTCTTCCATCTCTCTCTCTCATTTTTTCTTTATGTCAACTTCTCCTTCTTCTAAAACCAAACTTTAAGAGAAAATACTTAGAAAATTCGATATCATTAAGAACTAACTAAAAAACGATAATCACACTTAGACACATATATCTTCCAAGCGTTAACTACTACTACTCTCAGTAGTCAGTAATAGAATTTTATAAGTTGCGATATCTATATAGTTCATAAATGTACATGTGCCATTTCCGCAACATGCTCTTTTTTAGTCTCTAGATATTGAAGAAAACATATAAAAAAAAATAGAGTCGTCATACTTTTGCCAGTCTGTGGATGGATTTTAGTTCCAATTAAATCTAAATTTTGTATAAAGAGGCCACGTTTGTTTAGGATATGAGGTTGACGTTGAAATTATCATCACAAGGACGTAATTTGGTTTTACTTTTGTAATTCACGTATGATCGCTAACTTATGATAAAAAGAAAAAACTCATTTCGATCCAGAGTTTGAGCTAGTACTGTTCTGTGTCATGTGAAACATTCTATATGGATAACATGGCCACTTGAGATTACCTACGTTTTATCAGTGATTAGCTTGCCAAGAAAGCATACTCATCTTCAGACATAGTCTAAAGTTTTCGACGATAATAATATCGAACTTCTTAAAAACAGTGTATAAAATTAAAAAAAAAACTACTTAGAAAGATAAAAACAGTGTATAAACTTTTACTAGTAAACTGTATTTTCCATTGTTCAAGATTTAAAATTTTCTTATATAGAGATATTGAAATTACCATTTATAAGTTTTTGTTTCTCAGTATACTACCACCAAAATTCTAATAGTCTCATACTTTTTGTCTGAAAGAGTTATTCAAACGCCGGACTCTTGAGTCTGATTTTTGTGGTATTAAATGAAAATCAACTTAATTATATACCTAGCTAAATCCAAACTTAATAATGAAAAAATCAACTTAATTCTATTATAAATATATTGAAAAAATTAACAATTAATTGACCATAACATTTTAGCTAGTTAGAGTATACGCCAAAAACAAAAGCAAGTTTAATACTTTTCCAATCATGACAATTAGGGTTTGGTGAGTGAAAACGAAAGCCAATTACTGACTAATTGATCAACTTTTCTTACCCAATATATAAATTTTCTTAAAATAGTGAGTATACATATGTAACTAACTAATTAGGTTTAGACACTGTGCTCTAGTTAGAAAAATATATATATATATATATATATATATATATATTTAGAAATAATTAATAAAGCGTACATCAAATGCATATATATAGTTTGTGATCATCAGTGGTCTTTCACACACTCAAAACTTAATTCAACTTATGTATGAGCTGCAGTATGATTGGTTCTTGAATTCACATCATACTCCATTCGCTGAAAACATCGAATACATAAGAATTAGTTGTGGTAGTGTATACTCTTTTATTAGAGCAACAAAATTTAGTAGACAAATTTATTCATATGTGAAAGCAACTCTATTTTCAGAGATCCCCTTTGTTACTACTTCTTCAGTACTCATTTGGTTTCGTAGAAAAAAATGCTCATATTAGGTCAAAAAGACAGTAAAAGTAAAACTTAATTGTTTGGTCTTTGCTATTGGCTTTTATGAAAACGGGATTTGACATTTGAACTCAACCTGGTTTACTACAATGAAAATCCTATAAAAGTTTTATATAAAGCTAGATAAAGATTAAGGTTGTCTAAATCAATGGTGAACATTTTTCTCTTATGCGACGAGTGGAGGAGAGTTTCATTTTCACATTAGGAAAATGTTCACATTTGATAATGGGCCTAATTTTTGCTCCTTGTTTGGTTTTCAGCCCAAATCGCCTTACAATATTTCGTGGTATCTGTTTTTTTTTCTTTCTAAATATATATTTTAAGATTTATTGTTATATCATCTCAAAGAAAATAAGTTCAATAGTAAAAATGAGATTTTTTTTACATAAACACATGATGAGATAAATTCTGCAGTGTTTCTATCTCCTAACATGGTTATTGTTTGATATTGGTAATTTGTTTTCTTGTATGATTCTATTATTTCATTGGAATTGAGCAAAAAAACAAAGGATATATTCTTTTGAGTTTCAACTATCAGTTGACGAGATTCGAAGTAAGACCAGTTGAATAAACTATACATAACGTTTGATGATATAAAAATGGAAGTGTAAATTAAAGCAATGGTGATCACTTCACATCGCACCAATGTAGTGGAACTAAACGTCTCTTTTGTGTTATCATGTGGTCGTATTAATTGGTCTAAGCATTTACCTATTATAACTCAAAACAAAACAATATCCAAAGAATAATAATGATGACATTATACAATAAGTCAAGAACCTTATTCAACTCTATGTATAGGTTGGTGTTTTACTATTTTTCTTTATAACAATTTGGAGCTTATCTTATTAAGAGCCGTCGACACGACTTGGTCCAACTCATTTCACAAGTTGCTTGGCGCTTTTCATGTTTACTTAGCCACCGACCCCAAACCTTTTTTTTTCCTTTACCTTCAAAAACAGTCTTTGATAGTTTGTATAATAAGACTTCAATAAAAACAAATTTCAGCATATTCAGTTTGGTACAACTTTTCTTTTTAAAAAGTTTAATCATATATAACTTACTATATATAACTTCCAAGAAAACTTTAGTTACCCACAATAATATTCAGTTTAGTCTTCTTATAAGTTTTACTCAATTGAATTTCAATTGTTAATCAGGTTTGCAACTAATGTAATTTTTATAATATATTCCCAATCAAGAATGGGTCTATGTTGATAGAAGAAACCAAAAAAGTAAAGTAAACTTTAAAATAAAATAAAACTATATAAATATAAAAACAATAAACTCCACTAAAAAAAGGTCAAAACGTTGACCAAATCAAAAACATGTAATAATAGGTAAAGTCTTCGCATTACTACTACTACATCTCTATATAACAACGACGCAAAAGCCCCATCTTCTCGCACAAAGACAATAAAGAACAAACATGGAGAAACGAATTTCTCTATTGCTCTGTCTCTTCCTCTTCATCTTCTCAATATCATCCTCTCTCCATGAAACCGAAGCTCATAACCACTCCAAGTATAAACCCGCACGAATCATGAGTCTAGTCCCAATATCTCTCTACGACCAAATCTTCATCCACAAGGACAACAACGCATGCCCTGCGAAAGGTTTCTACCCCTACGAAGCTTTTGTGGAAGCTACAAGATGGTTCCCGAGGTTCGGGAGCGTAGGGAACTTTTGGACAAGGCGGCGAGAGGTAGCTGCGTTTTTGGCGCAAATATCTCACGAGACTACAGGTGGTTGGGCCACGGCACCGGACGGACCTTACGCGTGGGGACTTTGTTTTAAAGAGGAAGTAAGTCCACAGAGTAATTATTGCGATGAAACTAATAAGAATTGGCCTTGTGTTACTGGCAAATCTTACAAAGGAAGAGGTCCCATTCAACTTTCTTGGTGAGTCCATTAATTTTTACAAACAACCATGTTTCATTCCAATACTTCTTGTGATTGATATATTATATATAAACAAACCCATGAAAATGTTAAAACAGTTGCACCATCTTTTCCACACTTGTGATATGTATCTTAGCTTTTGTTTTTTTTTGGGATAAATAGGAATTACAATTACGGACAGGCGGGTCGAGCATTGGGTTTTGATGGTCTACAGAACCCAGAACTAGTAGCCAACAACTCTGTTTTAGCGTTCAAGACAGCTCTTTGGTTTTGGATGACCGAGCAGACTCCTAAGCCGTCCTGTCATGATGTTATGGTCAACCGATACAGACTGACGAAAGCAGATAGAGCAGCAAACCGAACTGTTGGTTATGGTTTAGTCACCAACATCATAAACGGTGGTTTGGAATGTGGGATTCCAGGAGATGGACGGGTCAGTGACCGAATCGGGTATTTCCAAAGATACGCTCAGTTGTTTAAAGTCAATACCGGATCTAATCTAGACTGCGAGAACCAACGACCTTTCGCCTAGATTATAACTGTAAACTAAAATCTATTGTATTACAAGAAATTGAAGTTTAGTATCACAATATTTAATAAAACTCACGCAAGCTGAGAGATTCAAAATGTTTTACATTTACTTGTAAGCGTACCGTGACATGAAATTGTTCACCTCAGTCGCGGTTTCATATGCGCCTTCTACACATCGGCCTAAGGCCACACCAGCGACGTAATTGCCACCCAAAAATAGCCCGTCGTAGCCCGAAGATGTTAGAGATGATTTAGCCGTGTCAAGGATATCAAAGTGACCAACTAAAAACTGGGGAATGGCTTGAGGCCATACCCTAACTCCTAATTTAAGTGGATCAGTGGAATTAGGCTTAATTAGCATTTTCCTCAAATCCCTGTCGACTGCTTCCACTAACTCATCTTCGGACTGCGGAATCAAAACCCAAGAGAGAGAGAGAGAGGAAAATATCAGTTCTAAGGGCTACTTGTTCGAAGGAAGATATTCACAAGTGCTTACTGTTTATTACCTTGGACAGAATCCCGGTGTTGGTAGACCCGCCAATGTAGTTCAATAGCAAAATTCTTCCGGGGGGAGCTCGATTTGGAAAGAGTGAGGAGCTGTATATAGTTCCTGGGGAAATCCGAGAAATCGCATGAAACTTATATGAATATTCTGACATAATAGAAGGTTAAAACTATAAGATATTTACCTAATGTTTCAACTCCTTGTGTGCGTGGATGCAATTGCCCAAACCCCTTTAGTTCACCATCTATCAAACATTCTGTTCGGATTGCTTCTTTCGGGTACGAGACAGATACTGCTGCAACTGGTGGATAGTAAAGTTTTGAGAGTGCATTTGCTGCAGATTCCTGAGGAAAACAGTTGCAAATATAAGAACCCATATTTGTAATTTGTCAAGTCTACGCTTTTGTGCAAATTCCTTGTTCGCAAAACGAGAAACTTACAGAAAGAGGGCGCAGGAGACTGCTTGCAACATGAGATGGCACAGTCATTACAACACTTTTGCTCTGCACAGAAACTACACCATCTGGAGTCTCATAGGTTAAGTTGTATCCTCCACTTTCCAGCTTAGTAATAGCTGAGAGCTTCCAAGACAATTTAACTTTGCTACCCAACCTGTCAAAGCGCATAGGATTTCAGAGACATTTGAAAGTGTTTGCCTTGTTCAGTTCTAATAGAGAAAGAAAAGTCTCGGCTTACCTTGCAGATATTGCTTCTGGCAACATTCGAAGTCCCTTCCTGAAAGAACCAACTGTCTGGCCCTTTGGTTTTGGCAGGCGCCTGAAGCAGGAGGTTGAGTTGGTTAACGAATATATATCAAGGGACGAAACACCCAAAACAGCTGAAAAAGGTTATGTTACTCACGGGTCTCGTTCTGCCTTGGGAGCATTTTTCCTCTCCTGAATTGCCTTAAAAGTACCACCAATGATGCTTCCACCATTTTGCTCTAGTTTCCAAACCTTCCCAAACGCTGCTTTCATGCTCAGTTTTGAAGGATCACCAGCATAAACACCTAAAAGCATGAAATCTAAAGCGTCAAGGGTGAACTTGAACACTAGATAATCAAATTCGCAAACATCTAACGAAATGGGTCATAAGAAGCTCTATCTGTCACTCTACCTGAACAAAACGGTTCAATCAGGCGCTCAAACACCTCATCACCGAGGTTACGCCGAACAAACTCCTCCACAGATTCTTCACGACCCTGTCACCTTTGCCAAACTCTAAGAACATGAGCAACTTCTACTTCTACCAACTTACAAGTAACTCTGCAAGAAATTTTATTGATCTAAAAGTGGTCAGAATACACACTGGAGGTGATGGTCGAATGCCAAGTGCACCAAACCCAGCTCTAATCTTCCCACCAATGCTCATCAAATCAAAGAATGGTAAGTCCGTCAACTTCGATGGAACCGGCCTCAATTTCCCTTTCCACAACACAAACCTTGGCGCAGTAGGATCTCCCAACACCAAATAATCCTTCAAACCACTATCAACCTAAACTAACCAAACAGAGAAGGTTTAGGATTCGGTTCACGAATAAAAAACATTCAAAACACTTAAAATCATCTACAACATACAGGAAATTCAACTACATTGTTCTCAGTAAGAACGAAACTTTCAAAATTAATTTTATAAACATTGATTCGGATTCAAGAACTTACCACCATAGTGAGCATCGGATCAGAAGGTTGAAAACTATTAGGACCTTCTTCCCAGAGAAACCCATTCTCTTCACGAGTGATAATGTTGCCTCCAACACGATCCTTAGCCTCGGTTACAATCAAATTCGGTGCAGCATCAGGATGCTTCGTAGCGAGCGCTTGCGCGATACAGAGACCACTAATACCTCCGCCGACAATCACACAATCTGCCGTGATGTTGGTGCCTCCTCCGCCTTCAATTTTGGAAGATCCGACGGTTGGTCCACCGGCCACGGAACAACGGAGTTTAAGAGGCTTGTAGACATGTAATCGAAGATTCGGCTTCGAGAACGACGGAAGAAGCGATTGAGTAGACGGACGGAGAAGAGATAACTCCATGGAAATCGCAGAGAATTTACAAATTTGTCAGCTTCTTGAGTTTTTCCAGATTGGGTAATCTGAAGAAGACGATGAGAAATATTCACCTGCGTTTACTCATACCATAAGAGTGTGTGGTGCACACATCACATACTGTACTCCTTTCTGGTTTGGGTTTAGAGTTGGGTTTGACCCAACATATTGATAAGTTCAAATGAGGCCCGTAATGACAATTTATGTTTAGCTTGGCCCAATTTCCCAATTTGTAGCAATATAATTAGGCCCAAGAGGCAGTTTTCTTATAAAATCTTAACAACATGCATTCTATGGGTTATGAATTTGGTTAGCAATACAATAACATTATAAGTACAAATAACAAACAAACTCTTTTGTCTATTTGAAATTTTTTATTTTATATGATTTTGTTAGTATTTAAAGATTTTTTGGTGAATTAGAAACATCCAGATTGATCTAGCACAGTTTTCTCAAAAGTCAAACTGAAGTTTTATATAAAGTACAACCAAGTCTTTGGTTATATAACCAAATCTTTGCTAAAATTAAGCCAGAAACAGGTTAAATACTTTTTACTTAGAAAAAAAGAGACAAAATTTAAAACCTTCAAACCTCCATCATTTTTTTGCTTTTACGTTATTCGATCAGTTATCAAAGTTTCCTGTAAAAGTCCATTATTACACATTTTAAACCTTAATTTCAATAGGAACCCCCAACTTTATATAATCAGATTTAAACTTAATAATTACTATTTTTTTATAAAAAGAAATATTCAAAATATCATCTTGATTGTTCTCATCTTCTCTCGTTTGCTTCCAATTAAAGTCAACTTAGCTGCGATAATTTCTCTAATCGACAAAAAGTTGTGACACTTCCTTTTTTTTCTTTTCTTTTTATCATTATTGTTGTTATTATTAACATTGATTACCATCAAAGTTATGATTAAACCCCTTAGTTCTTAATTAAGAAGATGAAAATAAAAATCTCGATAAGCAACATGCTTAATTAGTTTAGTTGCGGGATAATTAATTATATATGTCGATAGAAGTATTATGACCACTTTGAGCAACGTCGTTAGAGTAAACACCACATAATTTAAATAAAGACATGACTAGTGCATGTGTTTATGCTGTCCCTAATTATTTAAGGCCCTAAAATTGTGTCTTTGTCTCGTGTCATTGTCCACTTATCTTTCTAATTAATATTTTCCAACAAATTAAGAATATAATTGCGATATGAATAATTAGTTTTGTTTTCCTCATATAAATTATGGAGGTTTTGGGAGATAAACGGGTGTGATTTAAGCAATATATGTGTATGATCAAAATTATTTATGTTAATCTTTCAAATCGAATGGGTTGTCATCCTCTACATCAACAAAAAAGGAAATTAATAATTAAACAAATAACTCAACTTTTAATTTAGATTTCAAAGACATAATGAGATTACGTTTTTAATTGCCTTTTTCTTGATATTTCGAAATTCCTTCTCGAATTTTTTTCTGTAACTTTAAATGATTTTCTTTTTATATACTTTGTGTCGTGTTCACTTGTATCCCATCAAACATCTATTCCTAGTTAGAGTGAAATAAATGGACATGTTCATAATTATGCACAAAACCTTCATCATAAGCAAATTTCGTTGTCGACGACCAATCTAAGAAAATAATTATACCATTGGTTTAGGTTTTTAACCAAACATAAAATCATTGGTTTAGGCAATGATGATGATTACCACTTAAATTTCTAACAGTGTGGAGTTTTTTGATGTGCTTCTTCTATATGCATTGTCATTTCTTCTTTCTCTAATTTATTCGATACCAATTATGAAGTATTCTTCTAGTAACAAATAAAAAAAAAGGAAAAAAAAGAAAAATTTGAAGAAACATGCACCTTGGGAAAGACATGAATGGAACATACATATCAAACAAGAAACTTCACTGCCACTTGCCAGCAAATACCACGTATGCATGAACCCAACCGTGTGGACAGCGATGCAACGCGACTAAATTAATACACTTCTCGAATCCTATCGAGTAAGGTCGTCGTCATTACTACATGATGATGAGTTCCCCTTAAGACATTTTCATATAGTATATTACATATCTCCAAATCATTTAATGGACGTTTTCGTTAGACAGTTTAATTACAGCTTTTAATAGTATTATTGATATTACTCCATACGACAGAAAGCTTGTTATGATATTCGATTAGGTATTACTAATGTTTTTTTTTTTGTTGCATATAATTAAGATTTAGTACGTTTGTGAACTGATTGTTTCTTATCGCGGTGTACGAAATCGATATGTATCGATAAATTAAACGTGATTGAAGAAAACATACGTGTCGTAGTCGAGATGACAAGACAGGTTTGAAAATAAAATAAAAATTATAAAGGAGACCAATCAAATAGTGTTTTCAAAATGTCACCGTCTGAAATTTGTACACACACACAAAAGAAAAAGAAAACAAAACTTGGACGTGTGCATTGATACGTATCTTGTCGTAGACTCAGCCCTGATGATCCCTAAATTTAATTTCAAGTATATTTATAAATACTTGCAATAATATATGACAAATATACAGCCACCGACGTACAGGTAGACATACTCTCTTTATATATGTGTATATATAAACAGATAAAATTTTTCATATTTACATAGTTGCTGTGATCGGTAATTTTGTATGTATTGTTTTGACAATTACCAATCACATATATAAAATGTTATTAAAAAAATTATTTTTAGATTTTTTCTTTAAATATATATATATATATTTAATTATTTATTCAGTTTTACGCTATTTTGTATGTGTTATCGATCGAACCTAATATATAATCATCAAAATTGGTGTACTAATTATTTATGTGTTATCGTTTTCATCCAACTATGTCTAATTAAGAACTTTACTTCATCTGTCGATGTAACCTTCTTTTATTTGGACGTTATTACGTACTTTGATTAATTCCGTGACAAAAAAAATAAAAAATTATCATTTCATTTAATCCAAAAATGTAAGTTGTATCCGGAAATAAACATTTTCATGTTGGATTTAAGCGTACAATTATATTCGGCGCTGATTAGCATTACTTTTTCTACATTTATGGTATACACTTTGTGTTTCACGAGTGTGGTATTAAAATGTCATCGACATATTTTATTATTAACTTGGCTATCATATTTCAAAACCATTGCATAAATGGAATATAGGGCCCGATTGGGTGTGACTTTTAAGGGTTTAAAACAATTTTAAAGTCTTAACAGCTATATTTTTGCCAATCAAGATTTTTTTACTTTTATTTTTTTTAAGGAAAAAAGATGGCTGACTACACCAACTATAGAGGAATGCATGGTCACACATGCCAAGTATCATATTGTATACTCAACAACACGAACTAGATGTATTGCATGGCCACATGCATCAACTATACAACGTCATGTAATCAACACCATAGACATAAAATTCTGGTACACCGATCAACTGACTCTGGCGTTGACTCCGGCGTTGACCGTTTTTGACCAAAAAAAAAAAAATTTATATAATTTTATTTTTATTGTTAAAAAAACTAAAAACTGTAATTATTTTATAATGAATTTTTATGGTTTTGTATACTTTAAAAAAATATAATCTTAGGAAAAAAATTGTAACAATAATTTTTGTATTTAAGTAAATGACATAATAAGTTAATGGTTTTGATTGACAATGTAAAAATAAGCAATTCCTTACTAATTCATAAGATTTTCCAGTTTTAATTTAGATTCTAATATCTTGAGTTATTTTACTATTAGTTTAGCTCTAAATTTAAAAATAACTAATTATAATAAGAATGAATACATTAAAGATTTAAACAAAACTAGTGTTTAGATATTGAATATATATTAAAAAAAAATCAATATTTTTTAATTAATTTTTTTTATGGTTTTGTATAATGAAAAATATATAATCTTAGGAAGAAAATTGCTATGGTGATTTTGTATTTAAATAAATCAAATAATAAGTTAATATTTTTATTAACAATATAAAAATAAGTAATTCCCTTACTAATTCACATAATTTTTCTAGTTTTAATTTAGATTTTAATATCTTGAATTATTCTACTATCTTGAATTTTTCTAGTTTTAATTTAGATTATAATATCTTGAATTAAATACAAAATCATCGTTGTCATTTTCTTCCTAAGATTATATTTTTAATAATATAATATCTTGAAATTGTTTATAGTTTTGTATAATTAAAAATTCAAAATTAATTATAGTTTTTAGTTTGTTTAACAATAAAATAAAATTATATAAAAAAAAGTTTGGAGTTTTTTTTTGTGGTAAAAAACGGTCAACGCCGGAGTCAACACTGGTCAACGCCAGAGTCAGTTGACCGGTGTACCAGAATTTTATGTCTATGGTGTTGACTACATGACGTTGTATAGTTAATGCATGTGGCCATGCAATACATCTAGTTCGTGTAGCTGAGTGTACAATAGGATACTTGGCATGTGTGACCATGTATTTCTCTATAGTTGGTGTAGCCAGCCATCTTTTTCCTTTTTTTAAAGCCTTTAAAGCCACTTTATTTTTTTCCTTCTTTATTTTCTCTTTATTCTTAAAGTCTCAATATCACGGCTGTAAAAACTTTAGAACAAATAAGTTTTAAAAATTATTTTTTATTCTCCCTATAATAATTAGAAACTCACTATAGATTTATATATATTTTTTTCAAACTTCTTTTTTGTAAATTAATTATCAGTATTTTTTTTCTTTTCTTTTGACATCCACTTTTCTTTATAAATTTAATATTTTCAATATCACAATTGTATTTTCTTATATTATAAATATAAATAAACTTTATTTATTTGTCAATATGTTACATATGGATAAATATTGATAATCATATATTTATAAAAATTATATATAATAGCAAAAAAAAAAATTCAACTTTTAACCGTTAAAGTGTCTACAGCCAAAGTTTCTACAGCAAAAGTCTCTACAGCGAAAATCTTTACAGTCACAGTCTCTACAGCCACAAGTAACAGCCGTTACCAATCGGCCCCATAGTTATCGAGTATA